TATATCTTCCCCTTCCATGAAAAAATACCAGGTTCATAAATCCCAGTATCAGGTGGTATGGTCACATGTTTTCATAGGACCAACCACCTTATGGACTTAAAGGACAAACAAGGCTGTTTGCAGGTTAAGTTGATCACCAAGTCATTAGGTTTGTAGGGCATCGGTAATGGTTCTCATTAGCACATTTAAAGCTATAAACAGACTCATATTTCATATTTCTAACTTCACATTCAGCAGCCCGTAATACAGCTCCCCATGTGTACTGGCTCCTGCCTGCTCCTCTCACCCTCTGCACTGTTACCTCTCCATCACAGGCAGCAGCGTGGTGGTGGGGAGGGCAGGCAGCTCTGCAGCTTAAAAGCTGGCTCCCCACAGGCACCATCTTCCATCTCCCACTTCCCCCTTGCAGAGGCAGCAATGGGGAGGAAATGCATGCAGTTGTTGGATTAACCGATAAACCCAGGCTTATCAGTTAATTATTTACACAACTATATCCTAACATGCACCAAATCTGGATATACAGATCCAACAGATTGTAACATTAAAATTGATAGGTTACATGAGGTATTTTATCCAAACCATTTCTGAGTTGGCTTACAGATATAAATATATGCAATTTCCTTCACATTTTGAAATACTAATTTTCGAAGGATATAGTGAAAAGATGTTTGCTAGGTCACACCATGTTGCAGGAGCCAACACTGTAGACTGAAAACTACTTAAAACTTTTTCAAACTCCTAATTAACGTTCATTCCATATTCTTATTAACAAAGCTAAAAAAAAGACCCATTATGGATACGCCAAGAATATTCATCTCTTCGTGTTTTCATATATTTGAAATATTTCATTAATTCTTTCATCAAAAGAATAGTTTATCTGTGTTTTCTGCATTACTAATGTTATGCTACAATAACACTGTTAATGCAATTTCATTATTTCTACTTCAATTAAATCAGAAAAAAGTTCTACACTTTTTGCTTTTGGGTTTTACAAGCTTGAAAACAATCAATCATCTTCATATTTAAAATGCAGCACATCTATAAATCAGATTTCTCTTTTTGTCTTTTTAGAGTGATTTCTTCATAAATTTGCTGCCTGAACTTCAGCATGTATTCTACATCTTTGTAGAAGAGCATTTCTTCAATAGACAGGAGCTTCCAGCTACCCAGTTTGAAAGCTGACTTATTTTGTACAGCACTTAACATCTTTAATGACACACTAATTGAATCATTTAAAGTAGAACAAACAGGAAAAATCCGAATACTCCACAAACCTAAGCTTGTCTTGTCACCAGAGAAGAGTTGGTCTGAAATTCTCAGGTCCCAAAGATCCAAGCACTGCAGTAAGTTGACTCCAAAAAGCTGAAGGAAATGTATGTCTGACAACAGTGTCACATTCTTTTTCAAGTTGTCTTCGATGCCAAGCACCACACTCACATACATTACTTTTTCATTAATCCTGACGCTCAGTGAACTCACAAAAGTATTTGGTGGTACATCTGCTTTAGCACTTATGCAACAACCACTGACAATGCTGTTTGCTCCTACTGAAACCTCAGGTCCCAGCCTAGAATATTCAATAACAGAGGCAGGTGCTATATCACATCTTGAATCCAGTATGCTTTGAATGATACATGCTGATATATCTGAGTTTTCCGTTTTATCTGGAAAGATGCTAAATGCTTTAGATAGTAAGCCAAGCTCCGATTTCAATTTACTCTCAGAAGTAAAATGAAATAAATATTCTTGTGTAGTCCCAATATGATAGAACCTAGAGTTATTTAAGACTATAACATTAAGTGATGTTCCTTTAAGAAAAGAAAATAGCTTCTGTCTTACTTCTACTAACTGTGATCCTTCTTTTGTGACATTATCAGTGTTTTTTGTGTAATCTTCAGTTGCTCCAGGTCCCAGAGCTTGGAGAAAATCACCATATGCATCTATTTCACAGCAAAGAGTATCCAGCTGCTTAAAAAATATTAGTAATTGTTTTGCAATGTTATGATCAATGTAAAATAAGCTGTCTGTATACACATACTCATAGTCCATTTTTAAGTCACTATGTTCTCCAGAAGAGTTTGATTGAGAGCAATTCCTCCTTATGCATACTGCACCAGACTGATGCATCTTTTCAATACTAGGTTTATGTAGGAAATGATGACAAGATCTGTATTCAAGCTCCTTTTCTGAAATACCAGATGAATCCAACACAAATACTCCATGAGTGGTACCAATAACCAAATCTGAAGGATGAGCTAATGCAGTGAATCCAGGTTTATCAAACATGATAACTTCTGTTGCTCCAATACTATACAGTTCAATATCATCTGCACAAGTAATGAGAATTCCTGGATTCATATGGGCAGGAAAATCAATGTACATTGCCAATTTTAGCTCCAACATCTGGTAAATAGGGTCACCAAAAGGCAAAGCTGTGAAAATTTTCCCCAGTGCACTTGCATTTGGTAAACGTTGACTATAGCCACCTTAAAAAAAGAAAATTTTATTATAGACAAGTTTCATATACACACACATACTCCTCTTTACGGATCTCACTTATTGGTATATACAATTATAAAAAACTAGCTATAGGTTACAATATCTAAGTAGCTATTTTACACATGCATGTAGATGTATTCTAAGCATGTTATTAAAAAGAAAAATGAAGATTTAAAAGAACTGACCTATTTAATGTCAAACTCTTTCAAATAGAATTAATGATGGATCCTCATCTAAATTCTCAGTGTTCAAAGGACAGTATGCATAAAAGGGGGCATTTCCTACTGTATTGACTTCATCCTCTATAGTTTGTACTCAATTTAAACTAGTAAACTAAAAGGACTTTTTGCATACAATGGAAACAACAAAATTGAATTACTTCCATATCATCTTCGATTTGGTAGATAAATGTTTCTACCATACTGTCTTTTTCTGCCCATATCAACCTTGCGAACAGGAACAGCTAACAGGAGAGTTTGGAGAGGGAGTTCTCCAGGTAAAAGAGGGAGTAAAAACGGGACCCTTGTGGTAAGTGGCTGTCTGAAGTGTGTGTTTGTGTGTGGGGGAGTTATTTGCTGTGTGCTGAGCTTGTGTTTGTCTGTTTGGTGGTTTGTTTGATTGTTTGTTTGTTTGAAGGAGCTTCTAAAAGGTTTGAAACCTAGAAGCCTCTGTTAATTGGCTTAGCCTCAGTCAGGGGGAGGGGGCTACCAGAGCTATATAAGCCGGTGACTCAGCGACCAGGGAGCTTGTGACCAGGAACAGCTAACAGGAGAGTTTGGAGAGGGAGTTTAGAGGGCACAAGTGACTTCGGGAACGGGACCCTTGTGGTAAGTGGCTGTCTGAAGTGTGTGTTTGTGTGTGGGGGAGTTATTTGCTGTGTGCTGAGCTTGTGTTTGTCTGTTTGGTGGTTTGTTTGATTGTTTGTTTGTTTGAAGGAGCTTCTAAAAGGTTTGAAACCTAGAAGCCTCTGTTAATTGGCTTAGCCTCAGTCAGGGGGAGGGGGCTACCAGAGCTATATAAGCCGGTGACTCAGCGACCAGGGAGCTTGTGACCAGGAGAGACAGAGACAGAGACAGAGAGAGAGAGAACTAGACCAGGTCTCATCTAAAGGACAGTACCTAAAGTAGATGCCTAATAATACCAGGCTGGTACAATGGCCCGTTTTAAACAGCAAGATCTTGGCTCTTGTAAAAATGCTTTCTTTTCAGCTTCATATGATAGATTTCTTGTTGGCCAAAAGTTACTTTAAAAGTTGAAGCCTCAAAATTCATGTTAAAAACAGATCTCAGATTTCCACACGTCATTTAAAAATGGCCAACCCGACATTTTCCAAAACTGTTAAACAAAATTCATCTCTGTGCTGTGATCTTGTCTCTCAGTTTTCAGAAGAAAGAAAAGATTTGCACCTGATGGATAACCCTGTAAAAAGTGGGTTTCTAATGGAAATATTGTCAGATGTTTTACTCTAGCAGCCAAGACAGGTGTTTGGTACACATGAAACGTGTAACCTCTTGAAGCTCAGCTTTCAATGAAACGCCTAAGACGGCATGTGCGCGTTAGCGGAAAAGAGTATAAATGAACTCAAATTTTTATAACATTCCTTGTTGAAATCTATTTTATACCTTTGTATAAAATAAGAAGCCGAGCAAATGGCTGACTATTAGAACATAAGAAAGTAACACAAGAATGGCCATACTGAGTCAGACTAAAGGTTCATTTAGCTCAGTATCCTGTTTTCCGACAGTGGCCAGGGCCAGATGCCCCAAGGGAATGAACAGAACAGGGAATCAAGTGATCCCTCTCCTGTCATCCATTTCCAGCCTCCAACAAACAGAGGCAAAGGACACCATTCCTACCCATCCTGGCTAATAACCATTGATGGACCTAACCTCCATGAATGTATCTAGTTCTCTTCTGAATCCTCTTTAAGTCTTGGTCTTCACAACATCCTCTGGCAAAGAGTTCCACAGGCTGACTGTGCGGTGCATGAAGAAAAACTTCCTTTTCTTTGTTTTATACATGCTACCTATTACTTTCATTTGGTGACCTCTTGTTCTTGTGTTATGGGAACAAGTAAATTAGAATGCCCAGCAATGTAGACTGGTCAGCCGTGTATCTCATTTATCCTTCATCTTACACTGACTGAAGAAAGATTTTTTTTTTTAGGATAAATTTCTTAAACCAGTTTATCTCCTCAAAACAGAAAAACGAATCAAGCATTTTATTAATTAGAGACACTCTCTGTTTATGCTACTATCAAGGCCGCAAGCTGTAATCAATACAATCAATATGCTAGGACCAGCTATGGCTTTCTTGATAACAAAGCTGAATGCTAAATAGTACACCCTGACATTGAGAGTCCCATTATGTGAAGACACAGAAGAGGCAGTTTTCATAAATATTCAAAGTTAGTTTTAGCACTGACTTGGGCACTAAAATTCTCAGTTATTCTGTACCTTATTTTTCACGTCCAGGTACATAACAGCCTTCATGACACAATTTTACTATCTCATTTCTTTTTTCCTCCAATATTTCTATCAGAAAATCTGTGCTACATTCAGGAAGTAATTATAATATATCGAAAGATCATAAGACAGTCGGGCAGCATTTAAAAGCGAAGACAGTCATTTGTATTTCTGTAAACAGCCTCTGTCACAGCGATGTGACAAACGTGATTCATCTCTGCGACACCCTGCCTAGCAGGGAAGTGCGCCTGTGAGCCCTTGCCAATGCTGTGCAGCTCGCCAGACCCGCGGCACGGCTGTCACCATTAACAAGCGGATGCTAGCAACAGGAGAATTCAGGAGCACTGCAGGCCCCGTCTTGCAATGGGAGCGCTTGTCCAGGCGGTGTGGCCAAGTGCACCACCGGGCGGGGATCTGTTACGTGACAGTCCCACGCAGAGCCTGTGGGCAGGCTCCACCAGGTGCCTATTTCACGCACTGCAGGCAGATTTAGGGGCTTTCTCCCCGCTGGACGCTCACCAGGCTGTTTGCTATTCGGGGATCCAGCTGCTGGATCCTATTTCTTTTACGCCTCCAGAATATGAACTGAGCACTGACTGGGCTGTTGTCCTCTCAGCACCCCCTTGGGGGCACACGCTCTGTTTAGCAGCCCCCCCGGCCCATCACTGACCGCTCTGTAGCTGACGCACAGCCGCTCCCAGCACTCCACCTAGGCGAGCTTTCTGGGCCCAAAGGTTAACTCCCCAGTGCACATGCAGGGTGTAACATGCAGCGCAGATACTTTGCCCAGGCTTCTCACCCCATTGCTCTCAATTCCATCACCTGAGAAATTGCGATATCGGCTCTTCTTGGGAACTTGCCACCCTCCTCTCTCTGCTCCCGACAGACAAGCAGGAGGAAGTAACTTCTCCAAGGCTCCAGCTCACCAGGCCTGGTCTACACTAGACCAGGCAGATTAGCTTAGGGTATGCCACTCCAGCTATGCAAAATGCGTAGCTGGAGTCAGCTTACTTTGAGCCAAGCAGTGGCTGCGTCCACAGAGCAGGAGGTCGACAGGAGCACACACTCCTGTTGGCTTCCCGTACTCCTCTCAGGAGGAGGAGGATCGGGTGCTGGCAGGGCTGCCTTCAGCGCTTGATGTAGGGGGTCTACACTAGACCTGCTAAATCGAATGCTAGAAGAGTGATCTCTGGAACATCGATCTTCTCGTAAGTGTAGACATGCCCTCACTGTCCCAACATGATGCGGTTGCTGAGTTCTAATGACCCACCATTGTACTTGGAAGGAATATGCTTATCCCTTGTCAGGAATGGTGGGTACAAGGCAGGCAGAGATGCAGTCCCCATTACAGCAACATCATCCCAAGAAGCTCATCAAATTCATAAATCGTACAGACGGATCCCCCAGATCGCCATGTCTGTACACCCTGATTTTCACAGATTTATATCTGTTTTTATAATGGACCAGGCTGGGGCTCAGCTAGTCAAATAGTAACAAAAAAATTAAGATTAATACATATATTGCAAATGAATATGGAATATTTGTTCTGCTGTTAATTTTAATGATATTTCGAAAGCTGGACTAATTATTGTAAAGCCTAAATTTTATACACATTTTAGGATATTTGTCTCAAAGTCAAAACAGAAAGCATGTTATCTATTATGTGCTATTAATTATTCTTCTGCACACGGAGTTTGAGTTGCCCAATCAGGGAGCAGAAAAAATATTTGACTTATGTGACCAATCAGACACTGACCATAATGAACAGGAAAAAGGCAAATAGGATGCTAGGAATTATTAGGAAAGGGATAGAAAATAAGACCCAGAATATCTTACTGCCCCTGTATAAAACTATGGTACGCCCACATCTTGAATACTGTGTACAGATGTGGTCTCCTCACCTCAAAAAAGATATTTTGGCCTTGGAAAGGGTTCAGAAAAGGGCAACTAAAATGATTAGGGGTTTGGAACGGGTCCCATATGAGGAGAGGTTAAAGCGACTGGGACTTTTCAGTTTAGAAAAGAGGAGACTGAGGGGGGATATGATAGAGGTCTATAAAATCATGAGTGGTGTGGAGAGGGCCGATAAAGAAAAGTTATTTATTAGTTCCCATAATAGAAGAACTAGAGGACACCAAATGAAATTAATGGGGAGGTTTAAAACTAATAAAAGAAAGTTCTTCTTCACACAGCGTGTAGTCAACCTGTGGAACTCCTTGCCAGAGGAGGCTGTGAAGGCTAGGACTATAATAGAGTTTAAAGAGAAGCTAGATAATTTCATGGAGGTTAGGTCCATAAAAGGCTATTAGCCAGGGGATAAAATGGTGTCCTTGGCCTCTCTTTGTCAGAGGCTGGAGAGAGATGGCAGGAGACAAATCACTTGATCATTGTCTTCGGTCCACCCTCTCTGGGGCACCTGGTGCTGGCCACTGTCGGTAGACAGGATACTGGGCTAGAAGGACCTTTGGTCTGACCCAGTACGGCCGTTCTTATGTTATGTTCTTATGTTCTTTTATTTTCTATATTTACTTCTCTCACTATCTGAAAGTCAGAAAATATCCGGCATAAAGCAAAACTGCATTAATGTCTCTCTTCTTACAACATGTAAGCAGGCTTTTTTGCAATTTTGAACCATAGATGAGCCAAACAACTCATCTCCTCCAGAGGATGTTGCTATATGGTGACATAAGTTTCTTTCTCTTAAAAAGCTGAGGTTGCTATTACACAGCATTTCCATATTCCTTTAGCTGAGATAGTTGGACATGAACTGCAAACCCACGTTCAGATGCCATTAGATTTCCAAGTCAGTCAGCCAAATCTGAGCTCACTTGAGAGAGATCTGACAATTTCTTCTCCCAATCACCATATTTTCATTCAAGAGAAAAAAAATAGCACAATGCACCAGATAATTTACAACAGGAAAACAATTTACCAGAATGAATTAATATGATTGTAAGAGACGTCCATGTATCACCATACATCTCTTCCAAGCACTGAAGGACATGCAGTGTTGATCCACCATTTCCTACAAAAGATTCAATACATAAATTAAGAACATCAACATTAGTTACATAAACATGTCAAGAGTACAAAAATTATATGCAAGCAGTACAGGTTGCACCCCCCTTAACCGTGAATCTCTCATCAGGCAAGATCCATAGTCAGGAATGACTACAGATATTCCTGGATAAGACAGCCCTGGAGCAGGAAGGCCAGCAGCTGGGAGCACGGTGACTCTAGTAGCGGTGCGACTGCAACAGCCAGGGCAGCTGTGGTGCTGAGGCAGTCCTGGCAGCGGGGGAGTGGTATCGGGGTTGCCTTCTGTGCAGCAGCAGGGCCATGACCATGGCAGCCCAGAAGGGGAAGCCTGTCCGGGGCCTCATCAGCCCATGATTGGGGCTGCCTGCTGCCCAGCAGTAAAAGTAGGGCTGGGTCTGCAGCTGCAGCAACCTGGAAAGGAAGCTGAGCTGGGACTGTCACAGAATCAGTGCATCTGGGACCATGTGCCACCTGGCAGTGAGGCTGGAGCTGTGGCCGCAGAAACCTGGGAGGGGAAACCTGGCTGGGGCCACGGCAGCCCAGCAGAAGATGGCCGAGGCCACTCGCCACCCAACGGGCAGCAGTGCCGGGACTGAGGCTGGCCAGTAGGCAGTTGAAGGAGCTGGCAGCGGGGAGGGGCAGCAGGCTGAAGGGCTGGTGTCAGGAGACCTCTGGCAAATTCCCTTTTCTGGGACTGATCAGGTCCTGATGGTGCTGGACCAAGGAGGTCCAACCTGTATCAGGAATTGAACCAGGCTGGCTTGAAGAAGCTGGGCATATAAACGCTTTTCAAGATGCTGACCCCTTGCTCAGAGCATAAATTGTTAATTATTTTTAAATGAGTTCTCTAGTCCTCATGGCTGCAAAGATCATTTTTAAATTGTGAACTGAGTATCTATTGATGTGAAAAGGTCTACCTGAGACTGCATAAAACAACTCTGAAAGGAGAGTACTATTCAGCTCCATGCCAATAATGTTGACCAAACCTTGCGGGAAGGAGGTTGGGAGTCACCTTATGATTGTCTGCACAATCCACTATAAACAGCATCTCAAATATTCAGGTCTTGGGGGGAAAAAACCACTTTTCTCCCCTCCACTTCATCCCCTGAGTGACATCAATAAAGATCTGCCATCAGGTCAAGGGGGGGAAAACTCAGCTACAAAAACTGGCTCTAACTTGTGGCCTTTCATGATTTTAAGAAAGTTTTCAAAAGGACTTTTTGACAGATAGAGTTCAGAAAAGGGTTGGGGAGGAGGAAGGAGGAAAGGTAACTCGTTACCTGGTAAGCACTAGCCTTACTGGCATGATTACCCAGTAACCAGTGTGGGGTGCAGCCCTCCTCCTGTGGCAGCCTGGCTGATGGGGTTTTCTGGTGGGCCAGAGCAGCATCCCTGCCCACAGTGCAACAGGACCGTGGAGAAAACCTCTCCCAACCCCTGCACAGCTGGAGGAATAGGTTGTCCAGACCCCAGTTAAGTGATTAAAATTTAACTAACTAATTTTTTAAGAGGATTTCCACCCCTAATTTACCAGTATTTTGATACTTATTGTTCTCCTATAACAGAAGTCGGTAACCTTTCAGAAGTGGCGTGCCTAGATTTAACTTATTCACTTCTATTTACGGATCTGTGTGCTGGGGGAAAGTGGGGGAAGGGGTAGGCTGGGTACAGTGAAAATATTTTCTGAACCAGCTGCAGCTGGGGAGAATGGTCTAATTTAAATGATTAAACAGACTAAGCGTTTTATGTTGGTTTATCAAACTTCATTTTAAAAAAGTAAAATATTAATTTATAGCCAAAACAAAAGGTTTCAATGTTATCTTTATGACAGGTGTGGGGAACCTTTTTTGAGTTGGGAGCCACTGACCCACAGAAAATTCAGCTGAGGTCCATACAAGTGAGACGTAAAAAAACTCCTCCAAAACCCCCCAACCTTCACTGATGTGGCCCCAAACTGAGACACTTCACTCTTCTGGTGCTTCAGCCCCACAGGAGTGAAGAGGTTCACAGTTTCCCATAGGCCAGATTTACTTTACTGGAGTTCCAGAGTTAGTTGATTTTATGGACCCCCTTAGGCTCTGGAGCAGGGACAAAAAGGAGGGGTTCAGTGTGTGACACAGGGCTGCCAGCAAGTGGGATAGGGATGGAGTGCAGGATCTGGGAGGGAGGTGGGGTGCAGAAGCAGGCTGGGAGTAGGATATCTGGCCAGGTGGAGGGAGCAGGAGCAAGAGCAAGGGAGGGTGCAGTGTGTGGCCAGGAGAGTGGGTGCAGGAGCAATGGTGGATGAAAGAGCAGGGTGGGGGTAGGTGTCAGGCCAGGGGAAAGGATGCAGGACTAGGACAGGGGTAGGGTATCTGGCCAGGAGGGAGGGTGCAGGAACAATGGAGGGTGTTGGAGGAAGCTGGGGATGTGGGGCCTATGCTAGGGGGAGGGAAGTGAGTGAGGGGGATTGGGGCATGGGGTCATCTGGGCATGACTGGGGACACTTATCAGGCTTTGCGCCCCCTTGCAGCAACTGGAGGAGCCACTCGGGCCTGGCCAGCCCCAGAGGCACCGCTACCACAGCCACATGGTCCCAGGCCGGCCCTGGACCCACTGCTACCATGGCCACATGATCCCATGCTGGACCCGGAGGCACCACTACTCAGCAGCAGTGCTGACTGCTGCCACTGCAGCCTAACCTGCTGCCAGGGAAGAGGGAGGGCTCCAATGGCTGTGCTGGGGAGAAGGGGCGGGACCAGTGGCGGCCCATCAATACAGGCGAACTAGGCGGTCGTCTAGGGCGCCAAGATAAACGGCCATTGAAGGCTTTGGAGGTGGGGGTGCCGATCACGCATTTCACCAGTTGCCAGCAGCTCGTCTAAGGCTGCTCCTGGGTAGGACTGAGCTCCTGCCACATGTGCCACTGAAAATCGGCTCCCATGCCACTTATGGCACGCGTGCCGGATGTTGCTGACCTATCCTATCATTTAAAATAATTCCATTTTTGAAAATAAATCTTTGTAAATAATTCTACAGTTCAATCAGATTAATTACTTTCTAAAAACAAATGGCTGAGCTACTGAAGTTTACAAGATGACACTGTGCATGCTCAATGACTACTTTTCATTAAGACTCCTGCTATGGATTCAATATTTTGGACCTAATAGGTTTAAACACATTACAGTACAGATTAGAATAGATCTGTTATGATGTGCAATATGAATATATGAAAAGCAGTAATATTTTGTGTTATGCACTTATATATACATGCTTTATATTATTATTAACATGCAAAGGCTAACCAGGGTATGTAGTGTGAATGCACTTTAAGGGCAATATATAAATGTTTCTAAGTGACTTTTAATATATCTACTGAACTTATGTGAAGTCCAAAGGCACATGAGACTCATTAATGCTAATAATTATACATTTGAATCAAAACATATTGCTTAATGCTGTTAGAATATTTCTTGTGATTTAATTAATACAATTAAGCTTTAACCAGGGTATGTAGTGTGAATGCACTTTAAGGGCAATATATAAATGTTTCTAAGTGACTTTTAATATATCTACTGAACTTATGTGAAGTCCAAAGGCACATGAGACTCATTAATGCTAATAATTATACATTTGAATCAAAACATATTGCTTAATGCTGTTAGAATATTTCTTGTGATTTAATTAATACAATTAAGCTT